GTGTGTACTGATTCTTCTTCTGCTGCCTCTTTGGTTATTGCTTTCTTTGTCGCACAGATTTATGCAACTTTTGTTGCTCTCTTGCGACTCTTTTGCTCTTTTCTAGTTTTTTTTTATTTTTATAATCTTTACTTTTATGACTTTTTTGCACTCTCTTGTGCACCTCTCTCCCCTACCCTGCCCCCATTTTTATGCGGCTCCATTCAATGTCAGCCAATTTCCAGCAGCCGAGGCAGAACGCGAGAACCAAGAACAATGTGCGTCGTCTGCCAATGATGATTCATAAAATATGCGACTGCCACGATGGTGGCTGGAACGGCTGCAGCGGCTGCAACTGCAGTGGGACGACTATAACAGGAAAATCAAGTGGAATATGGCACTGCAGCTGCAGCAGCTGTTGCCCCTGGGACCAGACCCTTCTCTCTTACCCTCCTTGGGCAAGAGTGCGGGTGCGAGACGATGTCGCGACGTCAGCCGAAATTGCAAACGAAGCGCAGCGAGCGAGCAACGACGTCAGCTGACACAATGAGCAGCCATTGTAAGGCGAACCAGAATGAGGGGGAAAGATAGAGAGGGGCGGAGTAGGAGAAAAGGGAGTAGCAGAGGAGGATGACCACAAAGAAGAAGGCCAGAGGAGCACCACTGGAGAGCAGCAGCGACCACAGATCACCCCATAAGAAAGAGCAAAGGGAGCAAATGAATGGAGAAGCATCGAAAGAGTAGCAGAACCATCAAAGTGGGTACAGGGGAATCTCCCAATAAGAGAGAGAGAGAGAGAGTCACACTCACCTGGGTATGCTGATTAGGTAGCTGAGCAAACGTCGCATATCCTCCGGCTTGAGGCGATCGCGACGCGGCGTTGCGGGGAAGCAGAGCAGTGGACCGCCACGCCTGTCCCTGCCGCCCGTGAGGAAGACGACACGCTCCTGGAGCAGCGTCAGCAGATCGCGGGCACGCTGTCCATCCATGATGTTGGATGTCCGGCTGTCCAGTGTGTCCGTGTCCGTCCGATTGTCCACTAGCTCTAGCTGCAGCCCAGCCGTTGGAGGCAGTGCAGCATAACGGTTTTCAACCAGCCAGCCAGCCAGCAGCGGATTTCACTTAAACACTATTATTATTATTATTATTACTCTATTTATTATTTGCTGGTTTTGATGGTTATTTCTGCACAATTTGCTCTTGATGTTTCACTTTTTTGCTGAATGATTTTGTTGTTGTTGTGGTTGTTTCACTTTTGCTCATTGATTTTTGAAAATTTCTCGCTGGCATTTTCATGGTCATTCTTTTTGGATTGTTATTCGTAATGCGAGTGTGTGTGTGTGGGAGGAGGGAGAAGTCGAATCAAAGAAGAAACGAAAGAGCAAATGAGTGTGTGTGTGTTTGCATGTGTGTTGCACATTTCATTTGTAAAATTCATTTGCGGGGGGAGTTTTACCCACCAATTCCCCACTCCCTCCTCTTGCAGCAGAGAAAGAGATAGCAAGAGAGAGATAAAAGGCGAGTGCTGGCACAAGGGGTGCGGGGGAATATGTTAAATGTCATAAATCAAGTGACGCCGTCACGCGATGGCCGCATAAAAACATAAAAACTTGAACAAAAAGAATACGCACACACACATACACTGCCGCTCTTGTTCTTATTTTAAACACATGCGAAAGGGGGGGTGGAGTGGAAAAGAGATACAAGAACACACACGCATGAATGGGGGGAGTGGGAAACAAACACACACACACACACACACACATACACACGCGTATTATGGGGGACGGGGCAAGTGGGAAAAAGAGAAAGAACCAAACAAATCTCTCGAGTGGCGAATGCGGCGCGCAAAATACATTTTATATTCACATATTCACTTGCAACATGCTGAGGGGACAGGGCGGTGGCACACCACATCTTTTTAATTGCCACCAATTCACCAAAGATTCACTGAAAAACTCCAAAAGAGGCACAAGGGGAGCCACAAACACTATATCATCGCCTCCATCATCATCATCCCGAACGTAGCAAGCCTCTGCTGCTTCTGCTGCTGATGTTTTCTTCTTCTTGCCACTGGCTTCTCTGCCACAAATTGATTTTTTTCACACCGCGCGCACACACACACACACACACGCATAGAGAAACACACAGCGCATTTGTTGTTGTGCGGGAAAGCAAAACAAATTTACCATAAAAACGCAAGCCGAGATCACAATGCCGCTGTCATGTTGCATGTGCAGCAACACCGCTGTCGCATCTTTTATTTAAACAATTCTTTTTGTGTGCGCTTGCGAAAATTAAAACTGTTGTTTGAGGGTGGTCCTGGCAAACAAAATACTAACAACGATATAATGTGACCGCACAAAAGTATTCCGAAAATACCGAATAAACACGTTAGAGACGAGACGTCTGATATTCGGTATTTTCGGACAATACCGAAGTGCGGTTACACTATATTGCGGTATATTTTATCGAATGCGTCTGGCAGCGCCAGCAACATCGATGACATATAAATCGAATAAATAAGTTTTGTTTTTTTTCGTTTATTTCGCACAGTTTTTGATTGTAAATTTGCAAACATTTTACGCAAACTAAGAAACACTTTCAGGCAGCGCAAGAACAAGTCACGCCAGAGGCAGCAGCAGCTCCAGCAGCAGCAAGAATTGACAGCCCGAGATTCTGCGAGGAAAAGTCGCCCGCTGGCGGACACGGACGCGGAAATGGAGAGCAATCTCAATCGCATGATTAACCAGACGCTGCGCCATCAACTGAGTGGACAGCTCAGCAAATATACGAATGTGATGAAGGGTTAGAAATTCGCTAGACCACCCCCGCTCATAATAATCTTGCTCTCTAATCCTATTGCAGGCTGGCAGTATCGCTGGTTCACTGTGGACGCCAAGACGGGCTTCCTTAGCTACTACCTGTGCGACTCCTCTGCCGTGGGCGATGACATTGCACCCTCGCCCCATGTCCTTGCGAGTGCCCCACGCGGTCAGGTCCAACTGGCTGGCGCCGTCGTCTACCCCAGCGACGAGGATTCGCGCACCTTCTCCATTGCCTGCGCCTCGGGGGACACGGTGAAGCTGCGTGCCAATGATGCGCGGGCGCGTCAGGAATGGGTGGACGGCCTCCGGGCGGTGGTGGAGAGCCACACGAAGGCCATGGACATAAGCAATTCGTCACCACTGCCGCCACGGGAGCTGCTGGCAGCCTCCGATGCAATGGTTTCGGCCCGTCAGGCGCTGTTCCTCACAGAGCAATGGTTCGGCGATCTTTCACGGTTGCTTTGGAATGGAATAATAATGGAATTTTCTCTTGCAGCAATGCCTCATTGGCCAGGGCCATTGAGAGCATCGATTGTGCTTCCTTTACGGCCACAGATCCCGATCTGCTGCTGCTCAAGGCCATCTCCACGGCCAGCACACAGTGCCTGCATCAGTGTTTGGGCCTCCTGCAGCGCCACCAGGAGATGAATCAGCCACCCGCCGCAGAGGCGCTGCCCATTATGCTCTAAAGAAGAGTAGGAGCAGGAAGGGAAGGCGCATCCAATCCTCGCATCCTATTATCCAGTATTCCAGTATCTGAAAAGCAATAAACAGCGACGCCAAATCGCATTCGTGTGGGATTGAATGTGCTTTTGGTAAGCGACAGAAAATGAGAAGACGTTTCAGACGGTTTGTTTCTTTGTTGTTTTTTTCGGGTTATCTTTTTCAATGTTTTTATAAAATACTTTTTTACTTTTGTCGTTTCGTTTCGTTTTATCGGTTAATTAGAACATTCATTTTTTTTCATTTTCATTTCGACATTTAAGATTAATTTGAACATAAAGTTTTGCACTAAAGTTTTTGATAGAAAAACGATTGAAACATTTTGGACGTTGGATACTCTCTCCTCTCTCTCTCTCTCTCTCTCGCTCTGTCTCTCTATCCATCCATCTGTCGTTCTGTTATAATTGTTTATTTTACATGCTATACCAAAAAGTAATCGTTAAGTTAAGTTTTTGTGGAAACATCAAATTCTATGTGGGGATTTCTTTGGGGCCGAGGCTGGGAGGTGTTGGATTATACATATATAGATATATTCGGGCTATGGCTATTGTTGCGCTTTATGCTGATGATGTGATGATGATTTTTATTCTATACACCACATGTTCCAAATAGCAGCACATTCAATGCAAATGACTCGCTTGATTCGCTGTACAGAATTCTCATAAGCGAACGAGTACATTCTCTTGTTGATTCGCTGTACAAATTTCCCGCAAGCGAAAGGCTACAGTCGCACACAGCGACTGCACATTCCCTTCAAATGCCCTGCTTAAATGGAACTTTTTGGGTATATTCTTTACTCGTTATTATAATGATTTCTCTCCATCAATTGTGTGCTTGCTAAAATCAAATCAATTTGCCCGAAGGTACGCCTAAAATATATAATATCCTATATATCAAATATAATGTCGCCAGACTTTTTTTTTGCAAATAAACCAACGAACACACTGCCGGCAGAACTGTAGAGCAACCAGGGGGCCAGAATAGAAGCGGAACATAGATGAAATTAAGGCTAGAAAAGGCACTTTAGAATGGGGGATCATATGTTTGGGGACTACAGAGGTGCATCTAGGGGCTGTTTAGAGTAGGGATTTGCTTGGGAATGTTTTAGGCTTCTGAAAACCCAAATAAAGTGCCCCCGGCAGACCCTTCAGATCGCAGCAGTTGTCGTCATACAAAAATTTCGTTTTTTCACTAAAAAATTTCGCTTCGTTTTCTCCTAAATTTGTTCTAAAAATTTCCGTTTTTGTATAAATACTTTTTCTTAAAAAATTTCACATTTTTTTTTTAATTGTTTGGTTTTTTTTTTTGTTACAAATTTTGTTTCTTGTTCATCGCTGAATTTAATTCCGAAAGGCATTTTTTGTGAATTTTTTTCTTTTTGTGTGTGTGTGTTGTGTGTTAGCCTAAACATTAAATTTAGTTTTCCTTTTCATCATATTTTTTGTTTTTGTTTTAATTTTGTACATTTTTTTTCTCATTTTTTTTTTTTTTAAATTAATTAAAGACTAAACACAAAAGTCGGGCACACAATTATTTCGTTAAAAAAATCTCGTTATGTTACGTTATACTTTTAGTTTTACATTTAAAATTACTATTATTTTTGTTGTTGTAGTTAAAATGTTTGCTGTGTGGATTTTTGTTGTAGGGAAATTTCTTCTGATTTGTTTTTGTAGTGGAATGTTCCGGACTCCTTCGGACGTTTTTTTGGGGGCTTACAAACTAAAGAGATCGCTATTTATCCGATGGACTATAACATAATAATACTTTGAATTTTGATTCAATAAACGTACGGCTAGAACCTAAGGGCGAAGTTTGAGTTTTGTTTTTGTTTGTTGTAGAAGAAAACTAGAGGAATACAAATACAAATATATATATGTATGTATATATTTATATATGTGTCAAGAGGGTAGTCTCTCCCACTCGCTGGCGAGAGATTCATCCCTTATGGGGGTTTTTTTTTCTTGTTCTGATTTTAGTTGTTTCGCTCTTTTGATTGCTTTTTCTGTTCATTAATTTTCTGTATCATTTCCATACTCTTTCATTAGCTACTCGTCACTCGTCACTCGTCACTCGCCACTCGACACTCGCTACTCGTCACTTGCTACTCGCTATTAGTGGTGATGGGTTCCACTTTGATGCCACCGCTTGAACTGGAGCTGGGAGTCTCTCCAATGGCCGCGGAATTTCCTCCCCCTGCGGCGCCTTGCGTCACCGATGATGAGGAGGAGACGCTGGCACCCACCAACTCCGCCAGATCGTCGGCAAAGAGGCGGCTGGGCGAGAACTCCCGCTTGTAGCTGGACATCTCGAGCCCCAAATCGCCCAAAGGCGAGTGCAGGCGCGGCGTTTCGCTGCGGTGAGGACTGCCCTTCTTTTGGAGCAGCTTCTCCCCATGCGAATGTGAATGGGAATGCGGATGCGAGTGCGAATGCTGGTGGGAGGAGGAGGATGATGCGGATGTGGAGGCGGCACTGGCCGCCGCCATGGAACTGGCACCGAAACCGGACTTGTGCGGCATCCCATGATGCGCTGCCGCCACCTGCTGCTGATGCAAGTGATGTTGTTGCTGCTGCTGTTGCTGCTGCTGTTGCTGCTGCTGGAGGTGCAGCTGCTGCAGGTGATGCTGCTGCTGCTGGTGCTGGCTGAGCAGCGCCGCCGCCGCCGGGTCGCGGTGCAGTGCAACGGCCATGCTGGGCGGCAGATTCGGCAGCAGGCCGGCGGGGCCGCACGGCGAGGGAGCGTGTCGCGGCCCTGAACCGCTGCTTAACGCCGGGGAAATGCTGCCCCTGCTGCCGGGTGGCCCACTGGCCAGATGTGGCGGCAGGTTAAACAGTCCGGGTGGTGGCACCACCGGCGGCCCCGCCTCCCCGTGCTGATGCTGCACGGCGGCGGCCATCTGCATCTGCTGTCGTATGTTGTGCGCCACGGCGGCAACGGCGGCTGCTGTTTCCTGCGACATGTGCTGATCGACGCCTGGACCCACGCCGACTCCGACACCGACACCGACTCCTCCTCCGGGTCCTGGGACTCCGCCTCCACCGCTGCCCATGCCATTGGGACAGGCCAGAGCGCTGAGGCTAGCAGCTCCTGGCCCTGGAATGCCGCCACTAGCGCCTGGATAGCTGAGCGTCATGTCCTGCTAAAACAGAGAGAGAGAGAGAGACAATCAAAAAGGGAATACTTCCCGGGGAAAAAGTGTGAAAAAAGTACCGAGTGACGACCGTAGGGCGGCATGTGGCCGCCTAGGCTGTCGTCTTTCATGTCCTTGGCATCGCGAAAAACCACCGTCTTGATCACCCCCTTGATGTGCTCATCCGGCCAAATGCCCAGAAGGATACGCTGCGGCCGGCCACGTCCCTTGGGCCGCAGATCGGGTCCGCCATCGATGGAGGGTCCCAGCATATTGTGCACCCGATTCGCATACAGCACGAATGTCGGATAGGGTATGTCGTACTTGCGGGCCGCCTGCGATAGGGAGAGCCCCTCCTTGAGTACACTGAAAATGGCCTCGGCCATCGTTTCGGGTCGCCACGACTTGAGGGGTCCACGCTCCCGGAAGCGCATGTGATGCATCAGATTCTGATTGGTGTTCCAGCACTTTTGCCACATCGACTGCAGCTGGTACTGGTAGCTGTCTGCTAAAAACGGGCCGCACACACACGGCGCAAGCAAAGGAAAGAAAACGATAAAGTTGTGGATATTTTTACGAGACATGTTTGACACCTTTTGGGTACAAACCTGCCAGTGTGGAGCCAGCGGTGGCCCCCATCCAGGCATGCGAATTCTCCATCATTTTGGCCTGCAACGAAAGAAAGACAGAGAGTGTGAGAGAGAGAGAGAGAGAGAGTGAGAATGATGATAAGTGTTGCGAGGAGGCAGAGACGCAGCAGTCGGTTGAGGACTTCTTCAATTAATTGTATGAATCGCTTTGGTTAGCGCTCAATGCGGCATCTGTTATTGTCCTCCTAGTACTCTCCCCTTGCCGTTGCCCTGCTCTGTGTCTGTGTCTGTGTCTGTCTCCTGTTTCCCACTTGATTGACTTGCAAAATCGACCTATTTTTCGTTTAATTTCATTTTTTGATGCCCTTCAATCAGTGGGTGTAATGGACAGCACAGAAACTATGGGAACTATCACGATTAGCAATATAATATTATAGGTTAAACGTGTGAGAACCAATCTAGTTTATAGAGTGTGACGAGTAGCGAGTGAGGAGTAACGAGTAACAAGCAACGAGTGATGAGTAACGAGAGACCATTAAGGTAGTGAACTTGTGAAAAGGGAGGGTATTTTTTTATTTCAAACTCCCCCCCCCCAAACCCCTTCCTCCAGCGGTAAAAAACCAACACTTTTTATGCTCTCCAACAATGGGTAGCACTGTTCCAATTCCGATACCGATGTCAATGATACATTTAACTGGATGGCTAAACCCTCGAGTAGGTGGCTTCTGCTGATTCGCAGACGACGATGATGTTCTGTCTGTCTGTCTGTTTGCATCGAGCACTGGGTTTGCCCCCGTGCCGAGTGTCTGCCTGCCGTTCGTTGCCTCCCATTGAATCCACTAATTGCATAACAAAGTAACATTTGCATATTGTTCTACATATGTTAGTTAGGAGTGCAGGTGCTTAGCCAGACAGGAGCTAGAGAGAGAAAGAGAGAGAGACGGAGAGCGGCAGTTGTGGTAGTGGGGGGGATTCACCTCTTCGATAACTTCATTACAAAAATGTTCAGGCCTTGCATGGCTGGATGGATGGATATGGATGGGAGAAACAACAGAGTGGCGGCGTTGGCAGTACTTTTTGGATGGGATATCAAGTAGTGGCGCACGGAGGGGCACCACTTGTGCCCATTTAGCGTTAAGTATTACTTGTAACTTTTTTTCGTATGCCATGTGACTGGGGAAAGGCGACTGGCGACTGGTAGGGCCCCCCCTTATGGGTAATGTAATCCTCGCCTAGCCAGACAATGCCCAGCAAGCCAGCACAAATCGTTGCCTACTTTTATGTGCTGCAAACATGCGAGCTCTGCCCGCGATTTACTTTTCGGCTCATTACCGCTTGCAAATTATATATTATTCAAAAGTTTTTGTTTTGCCTTCAAAAATTACTTTATTTGCATCCCTTAGCCGTCTGGCCCGCCCTCAAAAATCAGCCTTCAAAATAAATAAAAATAAATTAAAGCAAAAATATTTTTATGCCTCTTTCGATCTTTATTTGTGGGGGGGATCTTCAAAGGTTTCAAGCCACTAATCAGGCTAATGATTTAGTCTGCTCTCCAAGGACAGCCAACGGATGGCGCTGCCAGACAGACAGACAGCCGACAGATGGCGCTGCCAGCTGGCTGCCCCTTTATCCTTCAGTTTTGGAGGAGCCTCTTGGCTCTCCTTTGCCAAATAATACGCCTAGAGCCAAATGGCAAAATAATTTATTTATTATATGTTGCAGCTGACTGACCAAAAGCTGACTGCCACACACACACACACACATATGCCACATGCCACATATACGATATACATATGTATATGTTTATGTGAGACATATAGACGCGGCGCGGCGTGGCGTGGCGTGGCGTTTCCATCCTGAGTGAGATTTCATTACAACTCATTTGACAGTCTTGGTGCACTCGACGCTGCCAAAATGTCATAGCTGAGTGGCATGCCCCCCATGCCCCTCCCCACACACAGCAACGGATTAGCGGACACGCAACGCGCACAGCACAGCACAGCACTCCCTCCTCCTCCCCCTGCCTGCTTTGTGGGGGGCGGGCAGACTCCACACGAAATTAAGCGAAATGAAGTTGACCACGCTTCGATTTTGCATCAAAGCGAAATGTTACCCGCTTGCTGCTTGACCCTCCCGCAGACCCCAGCCCCCAGACCCTACCCTGCCACTCCCACTTGGTCCACCCTGCCACACCCACTTGCCCCATGCATTGTTAATATGATTCGAGTCCAACGTCAATAACCAAGTGCCACGAATGGACCATTAGTTGAGTTGCTGCAAATGTTACTTGAATGCGGGTCTGCCTGCCACACTCACACACAAACACACACACACTTATAGGTAGTAGTATATATTGTTGGATATATCCAGCATATAGTCCTTGCATTTATGTATTTTCTATATACTATAATTATGCGGCTTAGCGCAATTGCTTGGCTTGGCTTGTCTTTGACGGATTCCACGGCGGATGCCGATGCCGATGCCGATGCCTACCACGCACTGCTGCTGGTAGCTGTTTGTTTTGTCTTTGATGCAACACGGAACAAACAACAACGCATTTAATCAGCAGATTGACAGACGGATAAACGGAGAGCAAGGGAGAGACAGAGGATGGGGGGATTACTTACAAGTAATGCTCCAATGATGCATTAAAGCGATCGAAACGATGCGTTGGATCGTCAACGTGCCCCCCTTTTGGGGCGCAGACAGCCAAATCGAATTAGATTAACCTGCCGAAAAAAAAAATCGCTCTTCTGGCATCTTTCGCCATCTTTTGCCATCTTTCTGTCTGGAGACAGACACGCCCCCGCGTGTCAGAGAGACGGGAAGAGGGCGTTCCTTGCGACGCAATTGAAACCTTTTTTTTTTTGCGCCAGCCTCTTTTTGAGGTAGTCCCCTTCATCCTGGAGTCTCCAGTGAGGCAGGTTGCTCCCCTTCCTCCTGGAGTCTCCAGTGAGGCAGGTTGCTCCCCTTCATCCTTTAGTCTATTGAGGCGTTAAACCCCAGCATCAATTGGGCGTGAAAGAAGTGGCAGGAGCAGCGGAACAAGCAGCACTTCTGCGGTGTCGACTCCGGGGGGGTGAGGGTGACCTGTGTCGCTGCCACAACTTGTGATTCGTTCAAGCAACATGCCTCAAACACACACAGCCTCAGACTCCCCTCGTTTCGGGCAATGCAATTTAGCCAAATTCACAGCAGGAAACACGCCAACGGGAAGGCAGCGGCAGGGGCTACAAATTTTCCAATGTCAATGAGGAGAGTGTAAAAAAAAAACACAGCGAAGAAAATGAGCAGAGATTAGGAAGGGAGCAGCAGCGCTGGATACCCTAGGCAGTTCTTGTACACACACGAATTTTCGTTGGGCTGACTTCGTTTTCAACGTTTCTATATGGGATATAGTTTTTTGATCGATTGTTGCTATGATAGCTATATGATATGGTATTCCAATAAATAAAAAAAAAAAAATGTTATTAAAAATTATTTTTATAGTAAAAAAAAATATATATTTAAAGAATGCATTTGCATATTTGAAAAAATTCACGAAAAATAATTAAAAAATAAAAATAAGATCAAGAATAAATTGTATATAAAGTATATATCTAATACAACAATCCGTAATACCCACAACAAAATAGAATGCTGTTTTTTTGGGCTGCAAGAAGGAAACGACTGCTCCCACACCCTGTGCTGAAACTGTGCACAGATTCACCCTCAGCCGCTTGGGGTAGGCAACGGGGGTCGGTCTTGGCAGCAATCTTTTGACGCTCAGGAAATTGTCGAGTGCCATCGAAGAGTGCGCCTGAGTGAGACAAGTGAGGGAGCAGTGGGGGGTGGGAGTGTGTGCGATTGGGTTCGTGTTTGTGGAAAACCAAAAATTAATTAGCGTGAAAAGCATTATTGAATGGGGGAAAACCAAGCAGCGTAGGCAGGAGGAGGCTGACAAAAACTTGCATTAGTTTTTGGGTAATCGGAATAGGAATCGAAATGGGAATAGGAATAGGAATAGGCATTGCCATTGGCGGTAGCTCATTTCCTTTAGCTTTTTCACTTCCTCTCATATGTCGCGTTCCCAGCCAGCCAGTCAGCCAGTCAGCCAGTCAGCCAGTTAGCCAGCCAGCCAGGGAGGCAGCCTCTCCAGCGCGCTGGTTTAATTTGATTTAGTCGCAGAAAACTTGCCTGCTCTCCGTAGTACTTCATTAAAATTCCGCAACAACAAAATCAACTTTTGGGCTCCGCTAGTTTTTTGGCTAGCACCGTCGACGCCGACGCCGACGCCGCTGCCTCCGCGGCGCACTTTTGCTACTTGAAAACATCAATTACAGATGCCAGTGGAATGGGAATATATATATATGTATATGCATATGTATATTTCCTATATCCTCCTAAAGCAGCCACCCCCCACCATACCCAACATCCTTCGCGATATGCTCAGCCCTTGGGCTCTCCACGAGTCGAGTCGTTTCGTTTCGTTCTGGAGTGTGCTAGGATTTCACTTGAAAACTGCAATCAAGTGAATTTTGATATATACAAACGTACACTCACATAAGCACACACACACACACACATATGCACGAGTGTATATATCATGTGTATGTGTCGGAAAAACTTCATGGATTTAATAATCAAACCATTCGATGGTTAAAATGTTCCTCGAGCAGTGCCCCAGCAGAGCCCTCTGCCAACGAGAGCCCCGCCGCACCACTCGATGGGTGCTGCTGCTGCTGCTGCTGGTGGGGGGGGTGGTGGCGAAGGGGACCTACGACTGTGGCCTGGTGGCTGGTGGCTTCTCCCTTGTCGACTTGTTCGTCATTTCCTGTACAATTTTATTATATTTCATACATAACTCTGTTCACTCGTTCCTCTCCATACATCTCACACGATATATATACATACATATGTATATGGACGGATATAGACGATAACAGGGCGAACATTGGAACGTTCGTTCGCTGCCTGTACAATTTATACAAAATACAAATCGTTCGCTACATTATGATGAGAAATATGGCTCATTCCAACAGCGTGGGGGGGGGGGGGGGGGTTGTTGCCTAAGGGTTGGCACTAGTACTAGTATTTCCC